GGCTTTTTGCATAAAAAATGTCATTTTTCGACCCCCGTTTGACCCCCAGGGTGAAAATGAAAATTCCGAAACCTTTCTGCACATCTACAGGACACCACCGACCATCTCCCAAAAAATGATTAGGCTACTGTGTAAAATGTTAGAGGAGTTTAGGGAACCAGGGGCTTTTTGCATAAAAACCGTCATTTTTCGACCCCCATTTGACCCCTAGGGTGAAAATGAAAATTCCAAAACCTTACTGCACACCTACATGACACCACCAATCATCTCCCAAAAGATAATTAGGCTGCTATATAAAATGTAAGAGGAGTTCAGGGAACCAGGGGCTTTTTGCATAAAAAATGTCATTTTTCGACCCCCGTTTGACCCCCAGGGTGAAAATGAAAATTCCGAAACCTTTCTGCACATCTACAGGACACCACCGACCATCTCCCAAAAAATGATTAGGCTACTGTGTAAAATGTTAGAGGAGTTTAGGGAACCAGGGGCTTTTTGCATAAAAAATGTCATTTTTCCACCCCCATTTGAACCCCAGTGTGAAAATGAAAATTCCGAAACCTTACTGCACATCTGGGGGTCGAAAAAAACGTCACTTTTCGACCCCCATTTGACCTCCAGGGTGAAAATGAAAATTTCGAAACCTTACATCTACGTGACACCACCAACCATCACCTTAAAGATGATTAAGCGACTGTGTAAAATGTAAGAGGAGCTCCGGAAATCTGGGGCTTTTTGCATAAAAAACATCATTTTTCGACCCCCATTTGACCCCCAGGGTAAAAATGAAAATTCTGAAACCTTACTGCACATCTACAGGACACCACTAACCATCTCCCAAAAGATGATGAGGCTACTGTGTAAAATGTAAGAGGAGTACAGGGAACCAGGGGCTTTGCCTTTTTGCATAAAAAACGTCATTTTACAACCCCCATTTGACCCCCAAGGTGAAAATGAAAATTCCGAAACCTTACTGCACATCTACATGACACCACCAAATATCTCCCAAAAGATGATTAGGCTACTGTGTAAAATGTAAGAGGAGTTCGAGAAAGAAGAGTGTGAAAGACGGACGGACGGACGAACAGACGGACGGACGGACATAAGTAACAACAATATACCCGAACTTTCTTTAAAAAGTGCGGGTATAATTAAAGGCTATAGTCTTGGGAGCAGTTGTTATTTCGTAAGTTATTTCACAAAAAGTAATTACAGCATCAACGAAAACGACCTAAATGTTTGTACAATTGAATAAAGGTATTCATTCTCAACATCACTTAAAGATTTATCTCCCCATAGTAAGATGTGAGTATCAACGGTATGTAATTTACCAAAACGCAGAAATTTGTCGAAAAAGTATTTCTGGCTTCTGTATATTATTTGCACAAGAAGAAATAATGATGAGTATCCTCAATCTCCCACAAGAGCAGAGGGGACTCAAAACTACATTACATCGATAAAGGTCACTACTTAGCACACAACTGTAACAAAGCCTTGCATGTAATATATTTATGCTACGAGTTCCACTACTGAAGTAAGAGGGTGGCATTTGTTTATTATTAGAAATCGATTTTTTAAAAGTAGATAATAAGGATGAATTTCTTACAGCAATGGGTAGTGAGTTCCATTCATCAATAACAAGGGGTATAAAAGTTGACTTATAGGTTTGTAATAGGTCTGCATTTCGGTATATTATAGTTTTGTGAATTTTTCGTACTGTAATTTGTTGAATTACAACATAAATTAGGGATCATGTCATTTAGACATTCAGGAACTTGGTTATTATAAATTTTGTACATTGTAGTTAATCTAGTAGTTTTCTTCGTTTATGTAATGGTTCCCACCTAGTTTCAAAGTAAAGTGAATCTTTAGAAGCTAATAAAGTTAGACCTGTGACAACTCTAGCAGCAAATATTTATAATTTTTCTAATTTTTCGCTATCACCCGTATTACATCCACCCAACACCGAGGAAGCAAATTCTAATTGTAGCCTAATAAAGTTGTGTACATGAATGAAAAAGTTTTCCGTTTTAGTACAAAACAAGTATTATGCATTTGCTAAAATGGTATCAATATGTGTGGACCATCTAAGATCATGTGAGAAAAAAATCCCTAAATGTTTATGCGAGGAAACAAATTCTGAATTTGCTGGAAGAAAAGTTAAGGATAGTAAACAGAGCCTCAAAGCATTCATTTCGTTTGCCAACACCTTCCATCAGTCTATCAAATTTACTGTAGACATACATATTCTTAGGTACTACATCTACCCTGATTGATGGCAAAATTGAGTTAAGTCTCCACACGAAACCCACCGATTCCCACCTGTATCTCATGCCCACTAGTTGTCAACCCCCACACACATTCAAGGGTGTGCCTAAGGGTCTGGCTACCAGAATTTGTCGCATCTGTCGCCAAAGGATACAGATAAGAGCTGCTTGATCAGAGATGCTCTAACAGAAATAATTGAGACAGCTAGCCATTCTACATTGAATTCCTTAATTAATCTTTAAATACATGCATGTCCACTCATTATTTAAAAATTTGTTAATTTGTTACAAAGATTTATAAAACGACAACAACAAAAAATTGTGTAATCTTGATGCAACATTTTTAATGAGGTTACTGCATGTCTCTTAGATTTGTAGGGACTATCTACCATAAAGTATTTTTTTAAAATACTTTGGTGAATTTTTTGAAATTCATTGACTTGTTTTAAGCTGCAATTCATACGGACAGGCGGATATGCTGATTCCAATATAACCCCCCACCCCCCCCCCCCACCCCCCCGGTATAATAAGTTTTAATTTTGTTATACAATATCAAATTAGTTTTAATTACTTTACACCAAATTTATTTTGAAAGTTAGGCTAGCCAACAATAACTATTTAATCCAACACAAGAAATGAAAAGGCTTATTCCTTTGCCCAATTACCAAGAGATATTAATAACACCTGCTTGATCAGAGATGAACTACAAGTTATCTCCTCATACTAAACTCATTAATTTCTCTTTGACATGCAATTTTCTTTCATCCAAATTCTCCTTGACAAGTGCTTGATAATTACACCCATGGGAGAGGTGGAATTTCTCTTATAATTTATTCATTTAACATTTTTAAATAAGGATACTGCAATTCTCTTACATTTTGGGGGACTGTATAATTTAAAAGTTAAAAGCCATTGTTTTTTATGCCCCAGTACCAAAGATTCAGGGGTATATAGTTTTTGCTCTGTCTGTCCATCTGTCTGTCTGTTTGTCTGCAAAAACTTTAACATTGCCCATAACTTTTGATTGGTTGGAGCTCTGGCTTTCATATTTTACATGTGTATTCCTTGTGACAAGACCTTTCTTTGGGTACAGCCATATTTACCTTTTGACCTTGACCTTGGAGTTTGACCCAGTTTTGCAAAATTTTATCCATCTTTAACCTTGGCCATAACTTTTGAACAATTGGTGCTAGGACTTTCATACTTCACATGTGTAATCCTTATGACAAGTCCTTCCTTTGGATGCCAACAACTTTGACCCTTTGACCTTGATCTTGGAGTTTGACCTACTTTTGAAAAACTTTAACATTGGCCATAACTTTTGAACGATTGGTGTTTCAGCTTTCATACTTCACATATGTAAACCTTGTGACAAGTCCTTCCTTTGGATACCAACAACTTTGACCCTTAAACCTTGACCTTGAAGTTTGACCTACTTTTGGAAAACTTTAACATTGGCCATAACTTTTTAACCGTTGGTGCTAGGCCTTTCATACTTCACATATGTAATCCTTGTGACAAGACCTTCCTTTGGATATCATCAATTGTAATCCATTGACCTTGACCTTGGAGTTTGACCTACTTTTGAAAAACTTAAACCTTGGCCATAACTATTGAATAATTGGTGCTTCAGTTTTCATATTTCACCTGTATATTTCTTGTGAGAAGGCCTTTCCTTAGGCACCATTAATTTTGACCTTGACCTTGATGTTGCATTTACTTTTGAAATACTTTAACCTTTTTTATATCTATTCAATGGTTGCTGCTAGGGCTTTCATATTTCACATCACAGGTATATTCCTTGAGACAAGACCTTACTTTGGGTACCAACATATTTGATTTGCATTTGAGAAAGTTTAACTTTTGCTATAAGTTGCAAAATGGGGGCATCAGTGTTTCACAAACACATCTTGTTTTCCTTAAATTTTTAACTTTAATTAAAGGTCACAGTGACCTTGAAGTAGGGTGCAACACATCTTTTACATAGGATGCATTAAGGACCCTCTATACACTGATGAAAAATATTTTTTGGACTTTGAGAAAATTATATAGCGTAAAGGAGGATGTTTTGAAATTAACTAATTCATTATTAATATAGGGAGCATTCCTTTTTTATCCAGGAAAAATATTCACAGACAATAGAGTGATGATGAAGAAAAATCACTTTTGCTGACTCAAATAGAGAAAATACATGCAAATAAAGTTTTCAACTACTCTTTCTTGGTCTAGTATAATGTTTAGAATACTTGGATTTATTTCAAATTATGTCATACAGTGCAGATTACAATTTATTCTATTTTATGTTAAATGGTGGGTCAGTCTAATTACACAAAAGTACCCTGAAATAAGGGTGAAGTGTAGAGAGGGTTCTTAATTGGCCGAGTTTGATGATTCTAGGTATAATAGTTTTGTAGTTATGAGCAGGACAAGATTTTTCATATTTGGCCATGGCATCTTAATTAAAGGTCAGAGCGACCAGTTTTACTGTGCGACACACCTTCTACCCAAGAAGTATCAGCTGACAAAGTTTGATAATTCTAGGCCTAATAGTATTAAAGTTATGAGCCGGACACGAAAAAGACTGACAGACAGTGGGATAAACATGAACACCAAAACATAATATGTCCCATCTTAAGACAAGCATATAAAAATTCTTGAAGGGATGTTAAACACACAATCAATAAAAAATTATCCATTTGTAAAAGACTGAATACCTTAACAGAGGATAATATTGCATTAAACCTTTCCACAATTTTAATTAACTAAAAATAAAAAAAAATCCAAATAAAATGTCACAAAACAATTGGCAATTATAAAATTATGTCTTTATATAATATTTTAATATATATATATATATATATATATATCTCATAAAAGTTGAATTTTTGGCAAGACACTTTTGTGATTTAGCTTCAAAAATGAATACACAATTTTAGCGAAAAGTTAATTTAGTGATTTGACAATAAATTGGAAGATAACCTTACCTCCTTTGTGCAGAAGGAATTATTAGTGATAGGCAATTTTAGTGTCGCCCACTTGTAGTTAGAGTGTCTGCTCAAGAGTTGCGGAGTAAGGAGCTGGTCCTTACATCATGGGTTCAAATCACTGCGGGACGTGGAGACCGGTCCTTCGGATGAAACTGTTTAAACTCAGGCCCTTTGTCAGTAGGTGTTGGCACAAATAAAGATCCCTCACTGCTCAATGGCCCTAAGTGCCGAGTATATGTATAAATTTGCAGCCCTCCACCAGCAGGTGGTGGCATCTCTATATGAGTGAAAAATTCTCAAAAGGGATGTTAAAACAACAAACTAACAAAAATTTTAGCGAACTCAACACTATCACTAACAATGCCAAAATTTAATGTTTGCTAAAAATTCTACTATATATATATATATATATATATATATATATATATATATATATATATATATATATATATATATATATATATTGGTTTAAAAATCATTTGTTCAAAAGCTGCACTTTATTCTCAGATTGGCACATTGGTATGAAACATCTTTCTGTGGCTTTGCATTCTGGATGACACAAGGTTCACAGTACAAATTCCTGAAAATACAGGGATATATTACATTTATATCTGTACTATTTCTAACTCTAACATTCTAGTTATCGAATACATTTAAGGAATAACTGTCTAATTTTTTGGATTCATGATGTGATCAATCGAGTGGCTTGCGTGATAATTTGCATAAATGCCGAAGGCGTTTATGCATAAAATTATCACGCAAGCCAATCGATTGATCATCGTCATGAATCCAAAAAATCTGACAGTTATTCCTTATATTTACATGCTTCTGATTCTGCAAATTCCCATGCTAATAGCCCCGCTTCTGTCTCTATTTGTCCTGCCCCGCACGTGATTTTTTTTAACCGCGCCCATCGATGAACCAGTAGATTTATGTAGTAATAAAGTATTTTTACAATTTGTAATTTTATCTCGAACAAAGACATTGGAAATGTAAATATTAAGAGATCAATGGAAAGGTCATCCAAAGCCACTGACTTCTGATGCCTTGACTTTGAAATGTAACATGCCTTTAATAGTATCAACAAGCATTCTGAGAGTATTACATAGGCAATGTAGTCCCTTACTGGCAAGTGTATTGTGGTTCCCATTAAAAAAATTCCATCAAAAATCTATAAAGCAGAACAAAACTTCAATTTGATCATTTCAAGCGTTTTGAAGAAAAGTGCGGAAAACTAAGTGGGACAGACTGACAGACAGATGGAAGAATATACAGACAACAGACAAGGACGAAAGCTTAATAATAGTCCCCTCTGCTTTCACCAGTAGGGGATTAAAAAGCTAATAAATGTATGTTGCATTTTACCTTATTCAAACTTAAATTCCTTTTTGTATGCCATAAGGGTATTTTTGGTCAGCATTGCAACAGTCATTGGTCCAACTCCTCCAGGCACTGGTGTAATAAAACCAGCTTTCTTTGCTACATCTGCATTTAAAAAATAAAATGAAGCCAATTGGCCACAAGGCACACCTGATTCACTGGCCAATCTGCAGATTTTTTTTTTCAAATTTCCCTATCCAATTTCATAAAAATTTTGACTTCATATTGTGCATTAAAATCTTGACTCATTATTGTGCATTGAAATCCAGCCCTAAGGAAACTTTATGATTTAATTTAATTGAACCCATACAACATTAGGATGTTTCAGTGTCAATACCATCAACATTACCCTGCTGTTATGAAAAAAAAAAACTATAAATGATTTAGTGTGGTCATGCAACTTTTCTTTTTTACATACTCCCTTGTAAAACTCCTATTGCAGCCTCAACATTCCTGAGGGCCCTGATCTGAACAAACTTGAATCTAAACTAACTGAAGTTGTTTACATATTAATACATGTATAACTATTCATGACTTTGCTTTTCAATAGAGGAAAATTGACTTTTCCTTTATATTAATTCCTTTGTGAAATTTTGATCTCCAATTCTGGTCCCATCCTATGCCTTGGGGCCATGATTTGAAAAAAAATGAATCTACAGTGCCCAAGGATGCTTCCTTACTAACATGACTTATCAATTTGCTGCTCTTGAAAAAGATTTTTGAAGATTTCCTACTTTACAAGTATATATTCCTATGTAAAATTTTGTTCTCCTAATGTTGCCCAAACCTAGCTGACAGGGGTCATGTTTCCAAAAAAATTTAATCTCCACTACCTAAGGATACTTTGATATCAATATGATTATTCAAGGCTTTGCAATTCTTATAAAGAACAATCAATCAATATATTCCAAAGTAAAAAAGAATTACCCATTGTGGCCCATCCTGCCCAAAAAGGGGGGGGGGGGTCAAAATGAGTCAAAATTTGAAGAAACATGAATAACATCACCCAGGTTACTTCTAAATAATAGGACTAATCATGGATTTGCTGTTCTTGAGAACAAAATTTTTCCTTGAATGACCATGGTAGCTGCAATTGACTCCCAAGGGTCATTTTTTAAGCAAACTTCAATCTACACTCCATATATATATATATATATATATATATATATATATATATATATATATATATATATATATATATATATATATATATATTTATATATATATATAGAGCACATTTTACAACAACTCTTAAACTAACATAACTGCCTTAAGTGAAGAAATATTAATACAGAAAGCTCAAAGAAATTCACTTTTATAAGGATACCCACTTCCGCCCCAGCCCGGGGTTGAACTCTCGACCTACGGAATCTGTCTCCTAGCAGTAGAGGAACAGTGGCTATCTAGGCAAGTCAAAAAACTTGCTTTTGATGCCGATGGAATTCTCGCGGCACTGTCCTACACCTACAGAAAGCATCCTTATAAAAGTGATTTTCTTTGTGCTTCCTGTATTAATATTTCTTCACTAAGGGCAGTTATGTTAGTTTAAGAGTTGTTGTAAAATGTGCTTTATAAATGAAAATTAATTTCATTACAACGTGTATTGGTAATGATCCTCTAATAAAATTAATGTCAAAATAACTGTATCTCACTTCCATTCTCAATGACCGTGTAGTGTAGGACAGCGCCGCGAGAATTCCATGAGCATCGAAAGCAAGTTTTTTGACTTATTTTTTTTCGTATTTCAAAGTACATACATTTATCCAAAAAATGCAACTTAAATTTGAATTGTTCATGTTTATAATGTAATTAGCGTTACCCACACCTGTTAATACCCATTATCGCCTGTGGCTGTGTACATGTTTAGGTAGTATTACCATGACCAATCACCTGGTACACAGGAGTTATCACCTACTGTGACCCCTTATTTTTTTTTATAGCTTTAATGATTTGTTTTTAATGATCATCGTTTAATTATAATATGGTCAGTTATCTTTTAATAATCATAATGATAATTTAGTTTGCATGCGGTAGTGAAATCGGACATACATAGAAAAACCGTTACCCACTTCAAAAGTAATATAAATAAAACATTTGATGATTTGTATTAAAAAAAATGCTAAAAATAAGCTGTGCAGAGTAAACATAGTGTACACAGGGAAAGCAACCAACATATTAATTAATATACATCTTGCAATCTCGACAACATGTCTCTTTTTTTAAAGCTATATATTCTCTTTAGCTTATCTAATCATTACAAAGCTGTGTTACAGATTCTCCTCTTGCCTTGGTCAAAATCATCTTCCTAAACAAGAACTGCGAACCATTTGTAGTTGTTTTTAAGTTTTTTGATTAATAAATCTAGTACAAAAATTTGTTTTCATTGGGCTCGTTGTTTGTGAACAGACATTAAAAACATAAAAAAATACTGATGGATTTAAACAGCCTGGCTTAACTGGTTTCAATAAAATTAACACACTTGTGTTTTATATTTTTACAAAGTACCTGGGTACTCGATCAGAAAATCGTCTGAGTAACCAATTATCAGATGTTGACAGATTTGACATCCCAAACATATATATATTTATTATACCTCTGTGAATTTTTTCTATATAAAAATATGACGAATAAACATGCTTTTTTGTTTCTAAACAGTCCCTACCGTAAAATAGTTTTTGTGCTATGTAGCATTCCGTTTCCCTCACTTTTCATCTCAGAACTCTTCTGGTTTTATCTAGATTGTGACATAACACAAGTAAAGTCAACTTTGGTAAAATAAAACACCTATTTACTGACTATTCGGATAATAGCAAGTTTATCGTCCCCCTCGACAGCAACTATTTCCCTCGGCTGCGCCTAATGGGAAATAATTGCTGTCTGAGGGTACATAAACTTGCTATTGTCCACATAGCCAATAAATAGGTGTATAATATATATATATATATATATATATATATATATATATATATATATATATATATATATATACACAGTGCTAATCTCGGTATAATGCCCTCCATTATATTGCCACCCTCGCTTATCGCCAGGAATTCTCCAAGAATGGATTTCCCCCTGTGTTTATACACCCTGTTATATTGCCACACCTGCTTATTGCCATCCTCCACTGGTTTTGGGAAACAAAAGGTCAAACTAGAAATCTGACCAGTCAGCAAGGGCCCTGCCAAGAGGTAGAAGTATGAGGGTGCAGATTAGGGGATGAGAATTTTACTTGATTACAAAAATTTATTAAAATATATAAAGAAGAGTAAGCAACAGCAACTTTATTTATAAAATTTCCAAGATAATTCCTAAATATCCAACAACCTGTAAATAGTATCCTTGTATAAGGCAGTAAAAAAGATCATATCTGTAATAACTCAATTAAATGTATATTTAAAGAAGAATAAAGCATGTGTTTTCTACAATACCAGCCTTCAGTGAATGCAAACATCACCCAGGCTTGACCTTAACTTCAAAACAAACATCAGTTGCAGACAAAGGTGTTAATTAATCTTAAAGTGGCAGAGAGATAACCCTATAAAATTTTCTGCAACCAGCAAGATAATCAATTCCAGGGGATTAATTATACTACTCTCTCAACCTTTTCTTCTAAGTTTACAATAAGAACTTTTTCAGCAATGATAGAATGAGGTTATTATCTGAATACCTGTTAAAATAAATAGTATTCTTGAATTTACATAAGGCAGAAAAAAAGAAAGCAAAAAATAATAATAAACTAGAGCCGAGCTCGTTGCAGAGCAACGAATAGGTCTTCTGTTGGAGCAGTGACCTTGAGTCAAGGTCATGCCATATTCTAAGATGATAAATAACCTTGTAAGGGACTATCAACTTGCAATGCTTCGCCAGTAGAAAGACAATAAAATAATGTACACTTTCTATTTCCTTGAACTTGTCCAGATGACCTTGCGTCAAGCCATGACACACTCTGGTTACTGTGGTTTCATCATTATTCGTGGAACACCAATTTTTGTGGATTTCGTTGTTGAGTCAATCAACGAAATCAAATGTTCATCGAAATTTTAGTGCCTCCATTTTGATTTATGATAAACCTTTAACAAGCCTATCACGACTTTCATTAATATATGTGAATCCCCCCTTTTTTCCCAGCAGATTGGCCTTATTTTGTCATTTTTAAGAATATTTTTAAAAAATACTATTGGATAATTCTCTAGAAATGTTTAGTCAATATGTATAAATATTTTACATGGAGATAAACGAACAACATGTAGATCTGTCAACGCGGTGCATATACCAATCAGTAGTAGCATAACACAAAGGATGATAGATAACCAGGTGTAAACATGTAAATTCTTTATTCTCAAACAATCTAACGGTCTAACAACAATTATCACCTGCGCAATGAAAACTCAAATTATCGTAAAATCAAAACCCCCGTAGAAATGATTAATTACTCTCAGTTCTTAACTGGCTGAAATCATACAAATTAAACAAACTTTAACGTTAAATTGACTTCTATTTAAAAACTTTTTTTCTGTTAAACATGAGAAAACGGGTATACATGTACAGACGTGTGCCATAATTTAATGGCAAAAATCCAAGATGGCGTCGCTCAAGCGTGAAGCGTAATGTAAACAAGCTCGGTATACATTATATTCTTGGGGAAAACACATATCTATTTTCAGCTCCTGGTTATTCTTACTTCCGTTTTTAAATTCAAACCGAATGTTTGGTTGTCGTCTGCCTCTGGAAATTTTTACATAGTGTATTTAATCATGGCTGAAAACCGTAAACATTTGTCAAATGACATTAAAAATGTCATCGTAGATATGCGAGAAAAGGGATATAAGTTACAACAGATTGCTGATGATTTGAACATTCCCAGAAGAACTGTTACAGGAGTTATCTCTCATTTTAAACAAAGAGGTGTAGTAGAGAATTTGCCTCAAACTGGACGTCCGCGTTTACTGTCAGTGAGGGATAGTCGTTGGCTTGTTCGGCTTGCTAGGACCAACAGGAAAACTCCACTGAAAGAAATTACCACCCAGTTTAATACCTTTAGACCTCGGGAAGTGTCTAAAAGAACTGTCCAAAGATATCTTTACTGGGAAGGTTACCATAGACGC